GGCAGAGCCGAGCCGAGCTGGGCCGGGCCGAGGCGACCGTGCGGGTGCGGGTCCGCGCCGGGCCGAGAGCAGCGCCCCGGGCCGGGAAGGTGCCGGGTGTCTGTGAGGCAGAGCCGCGCGGAGGCGAGGTCGGTTTCGTGCCCGTGTGTCTCCCTCTCTCTGTCTCTTACTTTGCACACAAAGGCTCCCGCTTTGCGGGGCGGGTGGGGGTGGATCCAGTCCTCCCTCCCAGGACAAGAAGAGGGGCTCAGGGCCAGGGTGGGGGATACCTTCCACCCTCAGCGACTGCATTTACTTGAGAAGAAATAGATTTCTTTAAAAAAAGCCCAAACCCTCTCCCTGGTGCTGCCAGGCTGCCTGTGTGAGTCAGGGAAGCAGCGGCAGGTCGGGGGCTCTCACTGAGGAAAGTTCCCTCCCCAGCCCCTGGGCAGGGGGAATGGCCTTTGCCCCCCACCCCCACAGCTCCCAGGGGCTCTTTGTCTGCCCTGCTTTTGGGGGTGTCTGTTAGTGCCGCCAGACAAGGAGGGAGAGCGGATCGCTCCTTTAGGAGGACAGGATGCTTCATGAATCCCTGGGGCAGATCCTGAGCTAAATCTGGTTCTGCAGCCAGGGATCCTGGGCAGGGAGGCATTTAAATCTGGAGCAGGATGGTGATTTTTTTGTTTGTTTGTTTAATGGAGGGTTTTCCTTGCTTTTTTGGGGCGTCCACACGTTGCAAAGCTCGTGGAGTATTTTTGTGCGCCAGCCAGGATCTCCAAAGTAACTTCTGCCTCTGTTTCCTGACTCTCCTTCCAGCCTCTCTTTCTTTTTCTGTTTAACTTTTTTGAAAGACTAAAAGGAAGCTGCATGCCGCTTTCTTTCTTTTTCTCTGATTCACTGACAGCCGTGGGTACTGTAGGTAGGTTGGTCTTCGTTACTTAATCCTGACACCAAAGAATGGTTTCCTGTAAAATATTATATAATATGAACATCTTTAGACGTGATCTATAATAATGTCTGCTCATGATTGCAATTATGATGGGTATCCCTTATCAGTCACACAAACTTACAGGGGGGGAAATCCCTTGGTAGTAAGCCATAAATGTGTCCTTTCTGTCTGTTGGTTTCTGTCTTATGGTTCTGTCAGCATTTCCCGTAACGGATTTGGGGGTTTAATTTGATTTTTCATAGCAGGTTGTATTGAAATCTAGTATAAAGGTAATAGCACAAATGCCCTTTTATTATTAAAATGTGTACTTTTGAGATGGTGGTGGTTAGAAGAAGGGGGCATGTAACTTTTAATATTTAAACTTTTACTTTTTTCATTGCTTGGTGCCTCGATTTTGAGGTGTGCAAGAGCTGTGCATGATGCGGGGTGTGCAGGCTTGATGACCCTGTTAGCGTTTTCCTTACAAAGTGGCACAAGATGCGCGTGTTGTGCCTGAAGTTGAGCACACGTGTCCATCTGTAGCAAAGTTAGAAGGGGATGGGAATATGCAAGTTTCAGTTTTGCTGAGACTTTCCATGGTAAAATTAAAACGCGGTAATGAGAAACGTATTCTGGAATGAGTTTAATTGAGTTGCGTGCAGTTCATGATGAAAACATTTTTCATCGAGACACTTTTGGCAGTAGGCTATTACTCATTTTGATATGTGAATACATGTATCAAGTCCTATGGCAGTGACTAGGATATTTTTCACTACTGTTATTAATTTGGCAGAATTAGGGAAGCATATTGTATACATTTAAGTAGTTGCTCGTGGTTTTTGTGTGAGCCTGTAGACACTTAAAGGAAACACAGATAAACGCCTTCTCTAAGTTACTTTTTGAAATGAAGTGGGCAGTCACAACCTTTCATCTTTTAACCATGTGTCGCATGGTACCAAGCAGAGGGGTGATGCATCCTGAGAGCGATGACCACTTGCTCGCTGTCAGCAGTAACTGGCTCAGTATCAACAAACAGTTGTTTGCTCACCTGAATACATCTTAGTCATAATTACAAATATTCAGAAACCTTGCTCCTCTCCCTCCTTTTCCTCCCTTCATGCATCAAAGTAACTTTGGGTCAACTTGATCCTGAGTGTTAGTCTGTTGACGTCAGTGGAATTGTGCCAGGGATGATTTTGGCATGCTAAGCCTGACTTCTGTTCTTCAGGACCTAAGAAATTCAGTGTAATATTACCCAAGTGCTGAGGATAAAATAGTAGTATTACGCATCACTGGAACACTGTAATAAGTGCTAGGGCAGGGAGGAAACACGGCTTGGAATCTTCCGGTCCCACTCTCTTTATTCTTTCCACTTACTTTCTCCCGTCCCTTAATTTACCATTGTGCTTTTTTTTTTTTTTTGGTATTTCCTCAGTCTTGGCATCTTTTTCTGTCTTCGTAATGCAGTAGAACTTCCTCTGAACTCCACTTCACCTTGAGCACTTGCTGCTTTTCAGAGTAACTGTACCGAGGCACCTTGCAGTAACGGTTCACAGCTTGGTAAGTGAAGAAGTTCTGGCCCTGCATGTCTTTGCTGTCCCAAGGATAAATGCATGACTTATTTTGTCACACGCTGATCCTGTGCAGTCACAATGCTGAGTGCTTTTGCTGAGGGCCAGAGTTTTCTTTTAGAAAGTTGTGTAATGTAGCTGCCAGGCTTGGGACAGCCTGGGTGAATAGGTCCAGAGGTTCAATGAATCTTTTTTTTTTTTCCTATACCATTGTATGAAGGTAAGGTATCAGTGGTTTGCCAAGGAGGAGTATTGTTTTACAGGGTTGGATACAGCATTCTTCATAAGGGCAGAGGAAGCAGAATAATGTATAAGCGAAGAAAGAGTTGGGGCAAAAGTGAGCTTTTTTGTGCACTAGCTACAGAAAAGGGAGAGGTAGAAAGATGCAACTAAGCGAAAAGGAATAGGATAGAATATGAGTGGCAAACTCAGCAAAACAGAATGGTTTGAAGTTGGGATCATGGAGTGTTCCTGAAGGATGCAGTTCTGTATTGAAGAGATGGTTCAAATGAGAGTGAACTCTCGCTTAGGTATTTGTGGCCTCCGCTAGCCTTATATCTGAGTACCTCAGAATTTATTTTTCATGTCCTCATCCATACAACATACCGGTGAGGTAGAGAGGTGTTATTTTCTCCCTTCTCTGCATTTTACAGATGAGAAGGCTAAAGCACTAAAAATTTACTGACTTGCTCCAGATAGCAAAGAAGGGACTTGTGCCCTGGTCTCTCAAGTGCTTGGCCAGTGCTGTAACCTTCTAATCAGCCTTTCTCTTTCCACAAATTGTGAGAAATGAGGCAAAGTGACATGGCCCAGACTGAATGAGTAGAAGGGCATGGAAACCAGTTTGCCTTGTTGGATGTGGTGCCAGTTCATTGTGGTACGTATAGTGGTCACGTGAAGTACAAATTCACATGGACGTTTCATTAGAGGGGCCACAAGGCTAAGGAGTTGCTGAATTGGCAGGTGTTTCCTGGGAAGTTTTTTTTGATGCACAACTCATTTAGGAGATGAGGAATGTCCTGGGAAGCACTTTGCTTTCTACTCAGCGGCCTGTACAAATGGGTCTCTTGGCCGGGCGTTGGGAACGTGATTGCTCTGTTCCATCTGTTACATGCACCTGGGAACCATTCATTGCAACATGTTTCCTGTATTGCTTTGAGGGCAGACTCTAATTCCCAACAGAATTATCATTCTGTTAAAAAAAAAAAAAAAAAAAAAAAAAAAAAAAA